CGACTATTTAGGAGCACCTAAAAAGCACCTAATTCTGATACAAAAGAAAATTTTGGAATAATATTTTTTACTATAGGGGACTACAAGCTTTCATAAACCTAGCAATTCCTTAGTTTTTTTTGAATTTCTCAAAAACTAGAGGAGCACCTAATTTTTAATTAGAGGCCCTAATTAGCACCTAATTATTATATAGATCCCGAAGTTTTTTCCATTCTAACACACCAACATGTAAACGTAAAGCCAGCAGTCCCCTAATAATTAAAAAAAAATCTGTAACTCAGTTATTAATTAATCAATTCTATTTTTTCTTGGACTATTTAGGAGCACCTAAAAAGCACCTAATTCTGATACAAAGGAAAAATTTGAAAAAATATTTTTTACTATAGGAGACTGCTAGTTTTTATAAACCTAGCAGTCCCTTAGTTTTTTTGATTTTTTCAAAAACTAAAGGAGCACCTAATTTTTAATTAGAGGCCCTAATTAGCCCCTAATTATTATATAGTTCCCGAAGATTTTTTCCACCTTGGGACTGCTAGGTTTATAGACCTTAATTTTTCAAGCCCTACAGAACAAGCATTCAGTCAATTACAATAAAATCTTTCGCTGACAACAATAAGCAAATTTTGTGGAAAGTGCAGTGGCTCTGTACCTACGTACTCTCATCATCAGGGATATAATTCTATGAACTTTCAAATTTAATTTTCTTTTCCTACGACCACATACGAAAATGACAAAATTTGCAGCAGCTGGGTTCTTTGGAAAGCGCTAAATATCACACGCGTGCTGAAGGTAGTTTCAATACGCGTGCTAAAAGTAGTTTCAGCACACGTGTAGAGAATACTGTTCACATTATTTGTGATTGACATAACAATTTACTTTCAATACGTGGATTGAGAGTACTTTCATTTCAGCACGTGTGTTGAAAATGAAAAGAAATAAAATAAGAGAAAATTGATGTAAATCGGTTTTTGGTCGTAGGAAAAATGGTGTACATCACTCGTAAGAAAGCGTCTTTCATACACTCGTGTGATTTTCGCACTCGCCTACCGCCTCGCACGAAAAAGCACTCGTGTAAAATTTGTCACTTTCTACACTCGTAATGTAAGACTTTTTTTCAATTTTTCAGGTAATTTAATTATAATAAACAATGCAATAATGTGAAGAGGAGTAGTAACACAAAATTGGAAAATGAAGCCGTTTTTTTCCAGGTATTTTGGTACCAAAAAAATGGCGGTATAGGCAATTCAATGCTTTACCTGTATTTTGGTGCCAAACACCTGCCAAAAACTTGGCTTCACTTTAGTTTCATAAGCAGAATGGCGCATTCCTACTCCTTATGTTCGTAGGACAGCGCTTTATATACCTGCTCTAAGCAATAATCCAAGTGAATTTTCTTTGAAGTTTGACAATTTTGACAATCAGTTCAGGGCTGCGTTCAGGAATGGCTACAGCCAAGCCAAAATTGGCATTTTGCGTTCGAGTTCGGCTCCAACCTACGTGGTTCGGCATTACAGGTGGAGGGGGAAAAGTAGGTTTTGGCATTAGCATTGCCGTCTTTGAACGAACCCCGGGGTTGTGTTCTTTTATACCGTTGCGTTCAAAGATAGAGCAAGTACACCCACTATTTTGATGGTCACCGCAATCAAACCAACTACAAAAAACAAACAAGAAAAATAATTTTAAGACAATACACATTTGGTCATTAGTTACTATTAGTAACTGTGATTGTGGTGACCATCAAAATAGTGGGTGTACTTGCTCTAGCTTTGAACGCAACCATATAAAAGAACACAACCTTGAACTGATTGTCAAAATTGTCAAACTTCAAAGAAAATTAGGCACTAGCTGACGTCACACACATACCCTCACTTCCGTTGGGGGGACAAACAAAGCATTTGAAAGGTCTTTTATTAAGGCGTTAGCTTGTCACCAATGACATAGCGTGACTTTCGATAGGGGGACAAATATGTCATTGCGGTTATGTGTGTGAAGTCAGCTAGCACTGAAAGTTCATAGAATTATCCGCGTGTGGCTAAATTCACCAAAATGTTGCACCGCCATGGATTTTGTGATAACGATTCACTAATGCCAATGCCAAATCACAGCTCGCCAAACCCTGTTTAATTTAACAACACTGCTTTTTCAATTATTCTACCACGGTGCCAACACCAGCTGAATTCAGCCACACGTGGTATATGGTTCCCTGATGAGAGTACGTAGGTCAGAGCCACTGCACTTTCCACAAAATTTGCTTATTGTTGTCAAAAGCTGTTTGAAGAATGCCTAGGTATTTCGAATTATATTTAATGAACATCCACGGTTGTAAAACTAGTTTCTGAGTGAGCAGTTTGATTATGCGAAAGATTTTATTGTAATTGACAGGACTTGTTTTGTAGGGCTTGAAAAAGTAACAATTAAAGTTACGAAACTTTGCCAGGAGAAAGACTGTTTTAATTCCTAACCAAACTTTCCTATACTCAAGAATCAATCTAATTATGTATCAAGGACACGAAACCTCATCAAGGACTTTGATGTCTATTATAGAAACAGACCAATCGCATCCTAGACGTAACAGACCTACAGATTATAGCCTCGGACTAACCCAACAAACTCCACTATAGACATTGGAATAACCAGAAACCTAGAACCGCCAGAACCCTATTGGAAGCAACATCCGATCACTTTCCAGTCTGGTTCCAAATCGACCAACACAAACAACAGCCCCCAAACCATTCGAAACTACAAGGATGCTGACTGGAAAGCTTACAAAAACACAATTGACCAGGGCATTACAATTAACAACAGAATCGTAACGACAAACGAAGTGGACCAAGATATCCGAAGCCTCGTAAATATCATCACGATGGCCAAAGAACAATACATTTTGAAGCTAACCATTAATAACAAAGAAAAGTTCCCCAAACACATATAAACGGAACAATCTAAAGGCAAGAGCCCAAAGAACCAGGGACCATTTCGATCGAATTGAATATCTGGAACAATCATTAATGACGTCACATCTGAACGAGGAGTGGAATAAGAGAATGCCAGCATCCCACGATGAGGGCAACATATGGAAACATATAAAAGGCTACAGGAACAGAAGTAGCTCATAAAACATTCCCCCACTACGGGTAACCGACGCAACAGGACAAATAAACACAATTACGGACACACAAGGAAAAACCGAGGCGTTTGCAAGTCAATTAATCAAAACAAGTAAACTCATAGAACAACTATCAGATGACAAGTCTTCCACAAGTTCTGGAATTTCGTGGACAGAGCCCCGGAAAATGCAAATGACATACTGACCAGCCCAAGAGAGATCGCTAGACTTATCTCTAAATCAAAACCCTACAAGGCCGAAGGCAACGACGGCATTGTTCCAAAAGATTGCAAGTTCCTACCAAGGAAAGCCTTTGTACAGTTAACATACATCTACAATGTGGGCATAAAACTCCAGTACTTCCCCCAAGCCAAAACCATCATGTTCACCTAGCGAGGCAAGGACCAAAACAAACCAGAAAACTACAGACCCATTTCGCTACTGAACTTCTTTGGGAAAGTACTAGAGCGGATCCTGAACAAACGGATAACCAAGCACCTATGGAAAACAACCAACTAATCATCGACGAGCAATTTGGATTCAGACGGAACAGGACGACTGAATTACAGCTCGCAAGACTAATAGACCACGCTATGGATGCCAATAACAAAAATCACACCACAACCCTGAAGAAGGCATATGACACTGTCTGGAGAAAGGCCCTCATCTACAAAATGATTAACCTAGGAATCAACCCAGCGATAGTCCGAATCACGGAGAGCTACCTTAGAAGCAGAAGATTCAGCGTGAACATCAGAAACGTGAAATTTGACACAAAATAAATCACAGAGGGCCTACCCCAAGGCAGTGTCATATTCCCCACCCTCTTCATTATCTACACAAACGACATACCGAATACCTACCAATCTTGTCCTGTATATGTGTACACCAACTTGAAACAAAGCCGAATCTCGGCCCTGAAAGCCGAACAGCATGTCAGGGCAATAGACGCCAACTGCACTAAGTGGAAACTTAAACTAAATCAACCACAAAAGACGACCAGACCAGAACTACGTCACAATCAACAACAACCAGATCAACCCGAACAACGACCTTGGGAGTTAAACTAGACAGAAAACTCCTCTTCAAATGGGTGTGCTCAAGGGCAAGACTGGCAGGTGCAATGGTGCCATCTCCCCCTTCATCTCGACAGCATCCAGACTGACTGCCGAAACAAAAATCAAGTTATACCAGGCATATGTTAAACCAATAATAAGTTATGCCTACCCAGTATGGAGCTCGGCATCCCGATCAGCAAAAGCCCCGCTGTGGAATACCGAGGCAAAAATGCTCAGGACGACAATGAGCATAATATGGGACCAGTACGTACCCAATGACAGGGTATACAGGAGGGCCAACATCCGGCCCCTCAAAGACGACCTCCTCAACAGGTCAAGGAAATTTTTCACACAGACGACCAGATATCACCAGGAACATCGGGACATACACCAGAGACACCATGTCATACCGACAAACTCGTCGGGTGATCTATGAAGAGATGCTACAGAATTAAGATCGAAGGAACCCTCGGACCCTCTACCACTGTGGAAAGGACCAGGAAGCCACCAGGGACAACACACCACAAAGTAGTCCAGACTGGACAACCCTGTAGTTGAGAATAGCAACCAAATAGATCCAAACGGATTAAAAGGGGCCAATGACCACTTTATCACATCAATAATTATCAAGCAGTCTAGGCAGAGCAAAATACAGGAAAATAGAAGATCCTATACTTATCTACCTAAAATTGCCTTTAAGTAAACAAAAAACTTATATGAAAGATAAATAATGAGATTTGAGATTTCAAAGATAAAACAAATAAAGTGGCCACTTTATGTTGAGTTTACGGTAAGGATCAGACAATGCCTATATTGGTTGCATCAATCAAGAGTAAATTTAGCAACACCGGTTCATTGGCTAACTAAATCTGTACCATGTATTATACCAGATTAAGAAATTATACATAATAGACATGCGTGCTAACGAGTTCCTACATCCCATCTTCCGCGTTTTTTTTTTATTACTATTATAATTATTATAGATGTATTATTATTGTTTTTCTAGAAGTTCATTATTCAACCATATATTGCATTGTCTTAATGCTAAAGTTCATTATCTCCGTTAAAAATTTTCAATATAACATATGCGCATATCTTATCTTAACAGTTAGTACTGAATAGAATAGGAACAATGCGAAAAGTTTAATCGTTCTCTCTCGTCAGCTCTGAAGGTGCAAGCGCCGCCAGTAGCTATACACCGGGTTCGCGTCTTTCTAACAGTACCTGTAAAAATATTGGCATGGTTAGCGAAAAGTTATTCGCGAGTGCGGTGCGACATTTCGAAATGTTCGGTGTAGTGTGATTGATGGGAAAAATTATGATTTAGTTTTAAGTGTTCTGCCAGTATTTTGGGACTTACAAGATTGTTTTTATGGAGGTTCGGTAAGTTTTCAAATCTTAAATTTTTCTCAAGAAACAATGTTTATTATCCAGATTTTGTAGAATAGGTTCCTATACATCAAAATATCCATAATTATTTATTTCAAAGTTAAAAAATTGTGTTATAGAATAAGAAATAAGAACCCTTGTCCAATTATTCATAGGAAATTTTGACCTAAGTCCCTAAGTATTATGTATAAACGGAAGGGTGTGATTATTTGTTTTTTTTTATGACTGAAATTTCAATATATTTTCAATTTTTTCTTGTAGATTGTATATATTGTAGATTGTGTGGGAGTCTTTTAGGCTTTCCAGCCGCTATAGGCTTTTAGATATACCTTTGCAGATATTTTGTACGTGACTCTACATCTTAAATTGTCTCTAGGAAGCGTCGACCTCTGCCGAAGGAATCTATTTTTCTGGGTTTCAGTTGGCCAACTTTTCTGGTGACAGTGTTGCCCCCTCAAGGAATTTGAGCCTCTTGCAGAATCGGGTTGGACATTCGCAGAACATGTGCTCTGCGGTCTCTATTGCGTCTGAGCAGAATCTGCAGAAATCGTCTTCTGCCCAGCCCATTAACCTTAAGTGGTATTACACCAGGATCCTTATTCTTGAAACAGGGGAGTTCCCAGGAGAACGAGTGTTTCGTCTTTGTTGGGTATATTATCATTTCCATATAATTGAGAAAGACAGAACACTCATTCTCCTTGGAACGCTGCTCCCCTATTTCAAGAATAAGGACCCAGGCAGTATCCTGTGAGTACAGCTCCCTGAGGGAACAAATTTTTCATCTCTATTATTCTCGTTTACTTTCAAATTACGTTGACAAAAGGACACAATATTCATTTTATCAGAGAGCTCTACTCCCTGAGACGAGAATTGGGCCCCTGGGTCCTTATTCTTGAAACAGGGAAGCAGCTATCCTAAGAGAACGAGCGTTTCATCTTTGCTGCTTTTATTATCATTTTCATATAATTGAGGAAAACAGAACAATCGTTCTCTTGGGAACGCTGCTCCCCTGTTTCATGAATGAAGACCCTTTGGTCTAGGAGCTGTTCAGCTCTTTTTGCTGAAAGGGTGATAAACCTTTTTGACTGTCTGAATCCCGGAATGGGCCTCCAATATGATGACAGTTAGTTTTTCTCCCATTTATTGAGTTCTTCCATGATGTGGCTTTCCATAAGGCCACAATAAGGCTCTGGTCCATGGTATGGTGTTGAGGTCCCTTCTTTTGCGAGTCCATGTGCTTCTTCGTTTCCTTCTATGCCTCGATGACCAGGCAGCCAAATCAGCGTTACCTGGTTGTGTGTCGCTAGTGTTTTTAGGGTCTCTCCCTTAAAGCTTTTAAGGCAGCTTGGCTATTTGATAGTATAAAGATGTGTTTTCCTTTGAGGCTTTGGTTGAGACACTTTCTTTATTCTCCCATGATTGGCGCTCGTTTATTACCACTGCGAATGAGATTTCTAAGTCCAATCTGACCATCATGTGGTCGTTTGGTTTGCTGGCATTATGCAGTTTTATTATTTCAAAGATGCAGATTTTCCCTCAGATCACCAGGCTTGAACGTGTCTGTTTGGAATAGCCTGTGAGCGCTGATTATTGCCTCCTTTTTCACACATAGGTGAATTGGAGTCATGTTAAGCAGCGTCTCTAGGGTTGCGGTGGGGCAGGTCGACATTGCTCCCGTTATTCCTATAGGCATATCAGCCTTTGAACCTTATTTAGCTTGATCTGAGCGGTGACTTGCTGAGTTTTGGGCCACCATACCAATGAGGCGTATATGATCATGGGCTTCATTATAGTTTGGTGAATCCAGAATACCATCTTTGGCTTTAGCCCCGATGTTTTACCAACAGTTTTCGGCATGAGCTGATGGCTGATATAGCTTTAGAACATGTTTTCTCTAACTGTTTGTTCCAAGTGAGTGTTTGGTCCAGAGTGACCCCAATTAGGCTTCATTCTTCTTGTGAATGGGACAAGAATTGTTTTGCTTGGGTTTAGGGATAATCCCTTGCCTTCGCTCCAATTTTCAACTATGTTTAGAGCACTTTACATTCGACTTGTTATTACGCCTTATATGTTTGCCCTTGATTATAATGGCCAGGTTATTTGCATAGCCTATGACCGGGTATCCAGCACTACTCAGTTTGGTAAGAATTTTGTCCATCACTACTATCCATAAGAGTGGAAAAGGAACACCCCCTAGAAGACATTTTCTAACCAGGCAGTTGTAAAGCACTTGTTGTAGATTCACCAGGCTGACAGGCAAATTGCTATAGTTTTTTCTTCACAGCAATCACAGCTCCTGCAATTTTTGAGGAATTTAGCTCAAATTTGGAAAACAGGTTACGCAATGGGAGCTTGATGATTGCACATGTCATACGATTGCCAGAATCTACAAAGGGTGATACTTTTTCATGGATCATGCTCCCTTTTTTGCACCTGAATTTTTGTGTGGTACGCCGCTGGTAGATTCTAAAAAACAAATTATTGTTTCTACCTTATTTACAAACTTTTCGTTCTCTTGTAGTTTTTTCGAATCACCTAAGGGTTGGTGATTCGAAAAAACCGAGAAAAAACAATGTTCTGTTATTAGCTAGTTTTGACGAAAAAGCTCAGTAACCAAATTTAATAACCGGGAAACATCAATAAGGGCTAGATTCCATCGATGGCCCCCAAGATCTACTGCCAGGCTGACCGCCCCCACGATGAAGAACTTACATAACCTCAAACTCTCAAACCAAAACAAAGCCTCCTGTCCAACCAAACCGAGCCCCAACTTTAGATACCCCCCATTTTATCTGACGACATGGCGCCCCACGTTGGGCGCCATGTCGGAATATATTTTGTTTCTGGCAAATGTTTGATATGTGCTCCCATTGCGTAACCTATATTCCAAATTTGAGCTAAATCCCTCAAAAATCGCAGCAGCTATAAAGAAAAAACCAAAAAAATTAAATATTGAAATTTCACCACCCGGTAGATCGGTAACCAAGTGTTTGCGAACCTATAGTTTAGTAGTACCGTTTGTACATGATATTTAGCAACACCCATAGTATATTATGCTTAAAAGTTTGCCTACTAACACTAAAACATTGCTAAAATTACTCATGATGACCAGTGGATGAACAAGAAAATTCCTATAAGTTGATAAATTTAAAATCCATACAAAAATTAAATGCTTGTTATCAAAATTACAAAACCGCAATGAATGACCAAATGAGTAATTTTGCATACAGCTGCATAATGATTCAGAAAATTGTCCAGTATTAGATCATCGTGGAATAGTTTTGTGCTTTTGCATTATTGCAGGTAAAACGCAATTTTTTTTAATTGTTTTCGCTACCATACTCTCTTATCATTATTGCACTTTAGTAAATTACCAATAAATAAATGCAATGTTTGAAGTTTATTTAACCTTAATAATGGTAATTTGTGTTAGGATAATATTAAACAGTTAGTTCACGAGTTTTTTTTCTGTTTAAGTCAAGGTTTTCATATCTTGGTAGACATTATGTTAATTTTGTAGGCACAAAAATTCATGCTTAGACTATTGTTGAGTACCTACCTATTCTAGAAAAGTACCCACCATTTATCCTTTAGAGAAGCTAAGCTCTATTGAAGATGAGTACCTATATGTTTTGGATATCTATATACCAAATTCTATTTTTGGATTATTAATCTGGCGCCATTTGATTCGGCCTACAAGAATTGGTCGGCAAACGTGACACTTTAAAATCACTTCAACAAAGATTTACTATAGCAACGTGCCACTAGACGCGCCTTTTAACTTAATTTGGCGTGGGAGATTCTCTGAAATATGAAACTAATCTCAATCTGGTTTATAAACAACGACTTACCTGAATATAAGGTAATGCTAATCGCCAAAGAAACTGTTTTTGAACTTGAATGGCCAACAAATATTACTTAATCTACCTCAGAAAGTCAAAGTACAAGACAGAGGAAAACATCAGTTGAAGCACTAAATCCCGTTCTCCTTTTTTTCACATTTGTGGTTCTGACGAAAAGAACCATTTTGAAAGAAGAAATTTTTCAATATATAGAAATGATAACAGAAACAACAGAAGATAATGAGACTATGAAGGTTTTATGAAGAAACTGAAAAAAGGAAAGCAAAAGGCAGCATTTATAAATGAGGGAATCATGGAAGCAAAATAAAACTTAACAAAGATGAGATTTCCCAGGTCCAAAAAGGCATTGGTAGATCTAGGTAATTGGGGCCTAAAGCCTTGAGAAACCAGGCTACAAAAACTTCAGGTGTATAAATGTCTAGCAGAAGACAATCTTTGTATCTGTAGGTTTGGGAAGGTGGTATGTCACAGTACTTAGGCCACAGTAGTCCCATTGGGCGGTTCCACATAACTACTTAGAACCCAAAGGTCTTAGTGATGATACGTCTATACACTTGTTCATAGGCAATACATGATGCTTTCTGTATTTTCTTAGTGATATAAGACTTCCAAGTTAGCAATCGAGTGTCACTCCCAACACAGGACAAATATGGCCATTTGATGATGATAAAGATTATATGAAACTTGAGAGTTGATTTGTCACAGGATATTTGCCTGCACCAGTTTGTTATTTTGAATGACGGTCTTTTTGAAAGACCATAGCTGAATTACAAATTATATCCTTGTTTCAAGAAACCACTCATTCTTGTTATCGTCGAAATATTTAGGTTCCATTAACATTTCGTTAGCCATTACTTATATTGAATAGCTACCCAGTTAAACGGTCTCTTTCATTCCTAATTTTCTCGTATTTCAAAGCAGTACTAATTGGGTTCATTAGTTGAGTGTTTTTTTTAGTAGTTGATTAGTGGTCGTGCTTCTGGGCAAAGTACCCTTGTGTTTTTAAACTTTAAAGAAAAATCATGTGTCGTAGACGCCGGATTGTGTGAGTTCATCAAAGATATTATTAACTTACGAGTTTAACGATAAAATTCACAAATGGTCTAAGACCCTGTTTCAGGTATTTCAGCAAAGCTCATATTTTCTCTAGACATCTCATGAATGTTTGTAGTAAAGTTCTATAGAAGTTGTGGTGCTAGGCTTTATGTTAAGAACCACTTTTATGACTATTGTATTATTGGCAGATGACCCATGTAGCTTTATTCGATTACCGAATATATGAACAAAAAGATAATGTTAACAACCACAGATTAAAGTCTTTGTTATCTTCTGTGGCTAAACAAACCAATTCTAGAAGATATTATTCTTCCACATTCCGGACATTCATAATTTTCGCCTGGAATATTCGGACGCGGCTTATCTGGAGTGTCTTCTCTGAATGTAGCAACAACTCTCCTACATTCGTAACGGTCCTGCGCAAGATCTCAATTACCTTGAATTAATAGATTTCAGATTGTTGTGGAAGACATTCTTAAAACGCTTCAATTGACCACCCTGTTTGCGTCGGACTTCCGCAAGCTCGCCATAGAGGACACATTTGAGTAGACGATTTTCGGGCATGCGAGCCACCTGAGACGGCCTTGTCCAACAATGTCTGAGATGCTTTTACACTTAGCTTTCTGATGTATTTCTATGTTTGATATTTTATGAAACTATTGTATATGCATAATCTGACGTAGCTGTCTCTGTTGAAGATCTTCTAGAGCTGTGTCTTCTGTATGGCACCCAGGTATCACATCTATATGTTAATGCTGGAATAACTAGCGCTCTACACACAGCGACCTTAGTGGATATAGCAAGGTCAAAAACTCTGTTTCTAAGTCTCCAAAAAGCTGCAATGGAGCTATTAATACGATGTTGGATTGCCTCATTGATGTTTCCTTTGTTGTTTACTATGCTACCAAGATAGTTAGTGATCTACGTTTTCCAACGCGTTTCCTTGAAGCGAGTTTCACTAAGTGCAACCAGATCTATATGTTTAGGCGTTCCAACTCTAGAGCAATAATGGCCGTCCTATTCTTTCTGGTCGGTTTGATGTGTCGGAATCTAAAAGAGTGCGAATGTTCCATGCAGCACAAGTAAATGTTTCTTGCGTCTGACGTTGTTTGAGCAGACACTCCCTTCCAGAGATCCGAGTGAGGAGGTATTTTGACTCCGGATGATTTTGTTCCGCTAAAACAATCCATCTTTTTGTTAGCTGCGTGTGTATATAGCTAAAACTAGTACACCGCTATCCCAGCTTTGGTTGGAATGAAGGGCCTTGCCCATTGCACAGATGATCTTGTTACGTTCAAATTTTGCGTTAATACGTAACTGAAGATTTCGAAAAAATTCACTAATTAATTCAGGTATTTGTGAGGGTATTTAGAAAGCTTTATACCTGAGGATCAATATTTTTCAGTGATTGATAGGTTTCTCATTGGATTTTACTAGTTTTCTGCCTTTTTAATTGAATGCGAAACACCCACATATTGTGTTGAACAATGGTATATTTTTCAAGGCAATACTGAGTTAATTCTTTGTATTCAAATGACAGGGTAGTAAAGGATAATAAAGCCCTACTATTAGGATCAAAATCTATATTATTCAGCTTACGGAAGTTGTCTAACAGACCCTAACTGTTGATGAAAATGTTTGTTTAATAAATATCAATTGGCAACACTTACGAGTCTCGTATTTTCCATTTTTAAAAATTCTGCAACATCACACATCACTTTCACAGCCTTTAAATCGCCTTTTCACCCTTATTTCCACTATTATTTACATTTTCCGGGTTATTTATTTCGCCGAATAAGTGTGGTTATGGGACACTTGTTGATCCGTTTCAGGCAGCGCTGTTGCTGAGGTTTCTTGACCACTGTGGGTAATAGACTCACTGTAGTTGCTACCACTGAACGAGTGGTCATTTTGATAGTTTTTGTACTAAAGACTGAGTAGATGATGATTATTAATTAATTAATTAATTAGTGTTAGGGGAGAAAATTAGATAACAACTTTGAGTTTTGTTGGTCATCAATGTGGTTTGGGTTGTTCGTTTCAAGCTGATTGTCTCCTTTTCCTGGTCAAGACCGGAAATCTGGCACCAGAGGGCATCTTGAAAAAAAATAGAATTCTGGGAAATTTTTCATATGAGCTCACCTAATAAATTGCCAAAAATAAGGTCGTTCTCTTTAAATTCGCACGTTGAGCAAGCAACAAGTAGTTGACAGATTTTACCAGCGGTCCTCTTGCTACATTCCTTGGAACATCCACCTTTTGTGGGATTTTAGAGCCGTTGGGAACTCAAGTGGTTGCTGGCTTAATTGGTTTTGGGGTGAAAACTTGGATTTGGTCATAAGTCTTCGTATTTGTAAGCCAACCACTCAGAATTTTCTGGAAACGAAATCTACGCCATTTTGTCGGTTTGTCGTGTGAGCAGAGAGCACGTTTTGTTCAACTAAAAGCCCGATTTGTAACCAGGATTTTTAGATTTTGCTTTACCATTGGGTTCTTCCTTATTGATGGTTTGCTGGTCTCGAACTTGGAGTGTCAGAGTACACATACCACTGGACTTGGAACCGAAAGTTACCCTATTTAAGAAGGGAAGTCAAAAAAAGCTGATGGGTCTGTTATCAGGGCTGTGAGGCTGTCATGACACAGTTATAGAAATGGATGTTTAGACTGCAGACAGGACCACAAGGGGGTGATGTACCCGTTGATTTATTAAAGTTTCTCAATATTTTTTTTTATTTATTATTAATGGTATTTCTTATATTTAACTTGGTACATTTCCAAGTCTGTTTTACTGCCTTCATTATTACAATGGGTGTACTGCACCAATGATTTTTAATTGACTATACTTAAGGTGACGCCCCGGTATACTAGGGTATAAGCGTGCACAGGTTTTAGTTATTATTATATATTAATTTTTTTATTCCTTAATTGTTCTCTCTTACTCTCATTGGGGTAAGGTGGTCAAACATTTGTCTTCTATTGGCTTTTGGAATTGAAAAGGATATAGGTACATCAGGTGGGAACATCTTGGAGGAATTTTGGAGATCGGGGACTTTCTGGTTTAAATCCGCGGATTTTATTTTGTAAACCAGTGGCGCCCTATAAAGCTATAACTATATAATGAACCTACTCTCCTTTGTTGCGCTGGCCACATTCCTTAAGGGTGTCTTACTGTACCTAGGCCTATTAGGGTTTATTTATTCAAATTTAGTTTTCAAACAGTTTAAGGGTTAATTTTTGCGCAACAATCTGCGACGATGAGCTCTTCATTAAGTCATTTAACTAAGTACTACGAAACTACTCTTTCTTGGAATAATTTTTATACCTATAATGTTGAAAAATCTAATCCCTGGTTTATCTTCAATAATAAAAAAGGTACACATTAATTCTACACTGAAACGAAGTAATTTTCTTAATCTCTGTTAATTTTACGGAAATGTCAATGAACTTTTCTAATCTTGCTGGGTACTTAAAACATTCGGAACGCAATGGCTCACATACCTAATTTAGACAATTATGAATCTTGGCCAAAATAAATTTAACAATCATGTTCTTTTCCAGACAAATCACTAAAGCTTTGGACAGTGAAACAGTCCAAAAGCTGAAACGAGAGGGAAACAAGACTTTAACAAGCCTAACCGAAAGAAGCCAATGGCTTGCTAGCAGTCAGGACGTTAAAAGAAGCACGTCGCTTGCTTGCGACTCTTTTAACGCAGTGGAAAGAGTTACAAAGCGAATGGAGCAACTAAAGGTGGAGAGAATGGAGAGACTGAAGGAGCTGGCAAGGTATAGGACTTTACAGGAGGAGGCAGAAGAGGTAAGAATTCAATTTATAAATAAAATATAGTCCATCGACAGATTAAACTATATTTCCATATAAGGCACTTATAAAATTGCTATTTCCGTTAACGTATCTCATATCAACTACTTGTATAAATTCTTGATATTTACTGGATGTCGCGTAAGATGTTTACACGTTCGCGCATGCAAAAAAGAAGACTGATTGGCCCCCTTTTAAGGCTGATTGTCGTTTTAATCTTGTTTCACTAATTCCTCCTATTTGTTTTTGTTGCATATGGTTGACGATTTCCTTATAGAGTTATGAGGGGTACGAATCGATGGCATATTTTACTAACACAATGTTCTATCAATAAAAATTAACTGTAGTGGAAAAAAAGTGTCACTGTGGACCTGATAAATCTAATCAGATGTCAGTCTATAAAAGATTTTTCTGATGGCAGCCTATCAATTTTCCAAGAATGAATATAAATTACTATTGTTGTTGCAATTCTAAATATACAAATAATATGCTATCAGTTCTTGGTAAATATCAATACAACAACTTAATTGTCTTGTAAATTAGTTTGTTATAGTTATTGATGTGATCTCCATATCGTAGCATATTACAGTGAAGTTTTTTTGAGTTTGTTGGGGCCAAATCTCATATTGTCCTGGCAAATTGAGTAAGTAGGTAAATAGGCGATTTCCAATATAAGAAACGCGGTAGTAATGTCAATTATAATTTTTCAAACTGAGCGCTTCACGCCAATATCTCGTGTATCTTCGACTAAAATAATCATATTTTAGGTAAAATAATGATTTTACATAATTACATACATTAAACGATGTCGGGTGCACGTTTTTGACCCCGTGATGCTAGAGGTTGGCTGATTTCATTTCACGTTTGGATTTATTATTAATAATATAATAATAATAGGTGGAATGGTTTTATTATTGTGAGAACATTGAAATAATTAAATTGGACGGTTTATTTCCGTAGTACTTATGTAATTAGGTAAATTTTTAATGGCTTTTACATCAAAAAATTGAGTTTGATACTTCCGCTCTCTAATATTAGTACCTAATTTACAAGAACTATGTTATTCAGATGTCCAATACTCTATATGTTTCCAGCTTGAATAATTTTTGTTTAAATTTTGTCTGAGTCCTGCCTGGTTAAGACCTAAGTGTGAAATCCTGAAACTTCAAAAATCAAAAATGAGAGTTATTTCTTCAACTGGATCTGTCAAAAACTTTGTGATATCTTCATCGACCACACTATCTGTATGTTGACTCTTTTTGACTAAGAAAAGGATTGTTCATTATTTTCTTTTCATTTATTATTCATTTGCCTGCTGTCTATTCACTTTTAGTACTATAGTTTACTTGTACCCTCCTCCTACATCAATTTGTGGCTATTGTTTCTTTGTACTCCGAGATTAATATCATAGTATGGACTTGCTCTTCTTCTAAGAAAAGTCAATTTTGTTTTTGTTGCTGACAAGTTCTTGGAGAAAAGCTCATCGCCTGATGATGAAGATTGTAAGTAGAATTCATCTTGAACTTCAAAACCATCCTGCTGACAGGGGCGCCGGGTTTCAGAAAACCTCGTCGGTGCTGATGTTCACGCACCGGCATTTATGAGGGGGGTGGACAGCCCGCTCGTGGCGAAAAAACTTCTCCAGAAGCCACGCCCAAAAACGTTTACCAGCATTCTTTAATTTACATTCGGACGAGTGTCTAAGAAGGGAATGGTAATATATTTCAAACAACGTAGTTCACACCTTTCCATATTCGTTTTCCAGCTGCGGGAACTAGTGTTGCTTGGTGCTTGCTAAGTTTTTTGCGGTTTCTGCTAAAATTGGAAAAAAAGGACGGCTATAAGGGTAAAGAGAAAAGAGTTTTCACAGCTATCAGAACAATACCCAATTCCCACTTTTACCACGTAAAAGCCCCCCCTCCAGCATAGCCATCATACCACTACCCACCAACTGCAAACCCCCTTCCGTGAAGCTCCTACCCTGAGGAGGCACTTTTTACACACCTCTACTGTAAACCGTTTTCCGTAAAGCCCTCCATTAATCTATTTTCAAAAGGCTCCTACCCTGAGATGGCACTTTTTTATATCCCTCCACTTTCTTGAAAACTAAATAATATTTAACCAATTCTTCCATTTGTATTCGTCAATTTTGTGATTGGCCCGAGTCAAATCCCCAAAATTTCAGATCAAAGGCGCCGCCGATCTAGAGATTTTCCCACGGTATCGGAAAACTTCCTGGGCTCAAGTGACCCCAGCTATCAGACTAGCAGATTCACAAGCAAAATATTTATTATTGCAATAAAATTAATGCACCTGTTTATGACCAATACCCACCTCACAGCTATCAGAGGAATACCCACCTCCACTACGTCAAAAAGCTTCTACTCTGAAGAGGTACCTCTTTCCATATCCCTTCAATTTCTTGAAAACTAAAGAATATTTCAACAATTCCTGCATTTGTATTCGTCAATAGTGTTCTAAACTCCATGAGATTGATTTTATTGCAATAATAACATTTTGCTTGTGAATCTGGTGGACCACTTACGTAGTAGAGGTGGGTATTGGTCTGATAGCCGGGGGCACTTGAGCCTGGGAAGTTTTTCGATACCGTGGGAAAATCTCTAGATCGGCGGCGCTTTTGATCTGAAATTTTGGGGATTTGACCCGGGCCAATCACAAAATTGACGAATACAAATGGAAGAATTGGTTAAATATTCTTTAGTTTTCAAGAAAGTGAAGGGATATAATAAAGTGCCATCTCAGGGTAAGAGCCTTTTGAAAATAGATTAATAGAGGGCTTTACGAAAGAGGGTTTACAGTGCAGGTGGGTAAAAAGTGCCTCCTCAGGGTATGAGCTTCACGGAGGGGGTACAGTGGAGGTGGGTAGTGGTATTATGGCTGTGCTGGAGGGGGGTTTTTACGTGGTAGAGGTGGGTATTGAGCTGTGAAAACACTCTACTGTAAAGTGTGGAAAACTATCCTGCAGATATTCTTTTCCAAGCAGCATGTACCGAAAATCTGCGGTTTACGCTGTTCTCCATAAAAGATTTCTGATTTTCTTCATCTTCTTCTTCTACTAAACAAAGTACCACCATGTTCTGATATCAACTGCCAGTACTGGATTTACTGTGCTGATTTTACTGTCATTTGCCGTTCCAATTTCAATAGCGTACTCTTGTGGTCATTCAGTACTGAATCGACTGAATCCAGTGTACTGAAAATAATATCGGAACGGCGTCCAGTAAATTCAGTACCTACTGACAAAGTTGATATCGGAACATAACCTATATAAGGCTATGGTCCAAATATAACTTAACGTTAATCATTAGCTCTGTTCCAACAGACATGAGAACCGTTCCATAACCAATAATTTCCAGTTGCCCACCTATTTTTCAATAAGTTGAACGTTTTTCCTAATTGACAAATGGATTGATCGACTGGAAATTACCGTTCTAGAAAGGTTTTCATCTCTGTTGGAACAGAGCTAAAGTAACCGAATCGGTCAACAGATGTTTACTAAAAATTCCGGTTACTTTGGGGAATGCAAATATGGAAATAAAACATAATTGACAGAAGTTACAGATAAAACCATGATAAAACCAACAGAACCGACATCCGATGGCCGGTAACTATTTTGACATTTGGTTAACCATCAGATTTCAGGAACCCGAGGTACAAAATTAACCAGTTTTCCAGGAACTAGAGAGGATTATCAGTTTTTATGTCTATGCTCATGGGTGCTTCGCACCCACTGTTTACGTCTCGTAGGTGCTCGAGCCCCCGAGCACCCACGTAGTTGGCGCCCCTGCCTGCTGAGATTATCACTGATGTGTAGTCAACACAGGCATTTTCGTCTGATTACGTCTTAATTGCGTAGTCCTAAAGAAACTTTATAGTATCATGGGAATAAGCATTCAAATCAAGGAAAAATCATGTTTCAGCTAAGCTCTAGAGACAGATTATAGGTGCCTGCAACTGAATTTGAATATTTAAGGAAGTTAAGTGAAATATACCCAACATTGTTTCTATTTCAGCTTAATCAATGGACAAAGAAAACAGGAGAAGAAACAATTAACAATTTAACTTTACTTCTGAGAGCTTCAGGAGATTCTACGAGTGTTAAAGGGGTGGCCAACAACTTTGACGAGTTTTTTTTCAAAGCTTGGGTAAGGAATTTGAACTTTTTATTTAAATAAGTATGCCTACCTACAAGAATAACTAAGTACCTATTAAGCCTTTTTGTAAACAAATAATTAATGGGTGTTATTTTCAAAATATGGCGGTCACGAGAAGGCTTAGCTGGTTACTCCAGCTATTGTAAGTACAGTTATTATTATAAACAAAAAGTGAACTCTAGAAAACATAATGTAGGTACTGATATTAGCTTCAATAACTTACTTTATTATTGGTACATGATTATGGTTTTGAAGCCATACAAATTTTTTTTATAAAATCACCTTGAGTTTTGCCCACCGGTTGATAGCAAAAATTTGTCATGGTTCTATTTAAAAACGAGTATTGAAATTAGCAACAATTTACCTTACGCTGCGGCAACAGATATAGGTAAACTAAAATAAATAATATTATTGTTCATGAACATTTTTTGTAAGTATGAGAAAATAGATGAGCATCGGAGAAGAGATCTGGGTCACTATAGTTTTATTCAACTTTATAATAATGACAACCATGCCTTTTCGACTTCTACAATCATATATAGAAAACAACATTCTAATAGTAAGCATACGCGCTACCGGAGAAACCACGTGCCACTAACCCCGCTTTTTCAACAAGTTTACCGTCACTATCTTCCTTTTTGCGAAAAATCCATTTCGAATTGATCACATTGACACCTTTTGGACATGGAACAATTTTCCAAGTCTCATTCTCACTCAAGAAACTAGTCAACTATGAAAAAGTCAATATGGGCTATAAACATCTTTGACCCATATAAGTCAACAGGCATAGATGGGATCTATCCCATAATGTTACAGAACGTAACTGAACTCGCAAAAAAGATACTAACATTCTAAGAAGTAACCTAGCCTTTGACTATATACCAAAGGCCTGGAGGCGCATTAGGGTATCGTTCAAACCAAAACCTGGAATAACAGGACAGGATGCGGCGAAGTTCCTATAAGGGCGGGTATTATAAAACTGCTTTGACAGTTAACTTGAAGTTAACTTTATGAATTACATGTAATTCCAGAAGTTAACTTTGAGTTAACTCTCAAAGTAGTTTTATAATACCCGCCCTTAGACCCATTAGTCTTACATCATTTGAGCTTAAGACACTGGAAAAACTTGTGAATAGGCACATTAGGGACGGTATTTTGGAAAACAGACCACTACACCCAGACCAATATGTGTCATGTTATGCTTGAGTCTTTATGTAAAGAAAATACTAAATAATAATCCTTTCCAGGTATATATTTAACTATTATGTCATATGCTTGTAATCTTAATCTTAATATAATCTTTGTAGTCTTAATGGGGTTTCATTCAAGGGTTTTCGAAAAATATTTTCCAGTGGCTTATGATCAAGGCCTGGATTCCGAACCCACGATTCGATAGTATCGTCCATATAAAATAGATAGACGATACTATCGAATCGTGGGTTCGGAATCCGGGCCCACAGTTTCAACAACTATTGATTTGCCATAAACGTAATGGTAAAATTTTTCACACCCAAAAGTAATAGCCAAAAGTTCTTTTTCAATTTGAGCATTTGAGCCCATGATCTCTGACTATCCAATAGGGCTTTGGACGCATAAGCCACTGGCCTAGTCCCAAGCTACTACTATCAACACAGTTATGGGTTTTTTAATGTCAAAATAAGGTAAAACTGTGGTTTTTGTTAACATATGCTTAATTTCTTCAAATTCCTTTGTGTGTTTATCTTGCCAAACAAATTCAATATCATTTTTCGAAAGTATTTTTAGATTACTGGTCAAGTTCGAAAGATTTGGAAGAAACTTAGAGACATATGTGACCATACCCAAAAAAGTTTGCAAATCTTTTTTACATTTAGGAAATTCCATACTTTGTATAGCTTTAATTAATCTTAATGATCGGGTTTCAATCCATCCTTACTAAAAATATGGCCTACATACCTTACTTCATCTAAACCAAATTTGCACTTATTTCCATTGAATCTCACATTTGCAGTTTTTGCCCTTTCCAACACTTTTGTTAGTCTGTCTTTATGCATAGCTGGATCTGAGCCCCAGACTATAATATCGTCAATAAAAACTTCTACTCCATCAAAAATATTTTTAAAACACCTATGGAAGACCTCTGGTGCTGACGACAGTCCATATGGCACTCTCTGATAGCAATATCGTCCCCATTTTCCTGCATTGAAGGTGGTTAATAACTGGCTTTCTTCATGAAGTTTAATATGATAAAATCCTTTGTTACCATCAAGCACAGAAAAAATATTTGTACCTGGCATTCTGCTTGCGATTTCTTCAAATGTAGGCAGTTGAAAACGTTCTCTAACTATTTCTCTGTTGACATCCTGGGGATCCAGACAAATTCTAAGAGAATTATTTGGCTTTTTCACTACTACCATAGAACTGATCCACTCTGTTGATCCTGTAACTTTCTTTATTATACCCATGCGCTCCATTCTATCTAACTCAATTTTCACATTTTCTTCAATATTAATGGGTATTTTTCTGGATGCCTCTGCAACTAGTACAGCGTTTTCCTTCAATTTTATTTTGTACATGTGCTCCAGTTCATCTATAGGTACCTACCATGAAACAAACCATCATAAGTTTTTTATCAACTTCGCCATTTTTCCCACTTTCTTGATCGTGACTCTCCTGGTCATTTACTTCATGTAGGTACTTTCTTGTATATTCCACACATTTTGGCGAAGTTCCATAACGCCTGCAGCTTGTGCATTGTTTTCTGTAAGCCGGACATCTATTTGGCATATAAAATTTACCACATTTATTACATGGGTGACTGCTGGCCACTATGTATTTGATTTTGAGGCCTGTTTTCATACCCACTTGTACTAGGTCTTTCATTCTGCATAGGATTGTACCTATTTCTGTGAAAAATTCGAGGCATTATTGTAAAATCTTTTATTGCTCACAGCTTGTACCATGGCCTAAGTCGCCTGTGATTCAATGTGAAAATGCTTGGTTTGCATTTCTGCCATTTTGATAGCCTGGCATATTTCTATACAACTTTTAAGTGTTAGCTGGCGTTCTTTGAGGAGCCTTTCTCTTAATTTTGAGTATAGCACTCCACAAACAATCCTATCCCTGACAAGACTATCTTTAAATATGATCAAGTCGCAATCTTTTGCTAACTTTTTTAAGTCAGTAACAAACTGATCGACAGTCTCTCCTTGTTTTTGTACTCTACAGTTGAAAATGTGCCTGAGTACATGCTTATCGGACAGGGATGTCAACAGAAACAGCGCTTCACCAGCTGGTCATAGCAACAAGTTAAGTGGATAGAGAAGGGCTAAACATTAGTCTCAACCGAGGTCCCAACAAATCCACCATCGTGGTATTTATATCCGAAGGCATAAAATTCAAGACCTGGAGCCTCTTAGATTAAGTGGTGAAAATATACAGATTTCGAGTGAGGTCAAGTAAATACTTGGGGGTAACAGGTAACACTGGACTCAAAACTTACCTGGAATCAACATCTGGAGAACACCACCAAAAAAGTGGTAACTCATGATAGCCAGACGCTTGCATGGAAAATTATGAGGCTTAGGACCGAACATGCTGTATTGGACATACAACATGATGGTCAAACCTGTCTTGACATACGCCTCCCTGGTGTGGTGGCCGAAGACATTGCGGGGAAATACCATACGCCAACTTAGCAAAGTGCAAAGACTGGCCTGCTCAGGAATAACGGGTTAATGCGATTCACGCCAGTAGCAGCCATGGAGACTCTCCTAGACTTCCCATCTCTACACATAGTGATACAGGGTGAGGCAAGGATGAGAGCATCCAGACTGCAGCCGACAACCGCCTCCAACAAAAGGACGGGATACATGGCAATCGTAGAACTCGTGGGGGAAAAGATTTTCAACATGAGGACCGACTACATGCCAAGACGATGCTGTCTGATGTGAGCTCCTCAAACCGAACTGAATGGGAACATGGCATACCGGAGAACAAAAAACAAGACCAGACATGGTACACAGACGGGTCGAAGACCGCGTCTAGTACCGGAGCAGGGGTATACTCCGCCAACTGTAGCGATCACTATGTAATGTGAAAAGATTCCTCTGTTTTTCAAGCAGAGGTATACGTTATACTCCAATGCGCAGCGGAGAACAACAGGATAGGATCTGATAGTTAAGCGGTACTGAAAGCCCTTTCGAGCCACACAGTGTATCAAGACTAGTATGGGAATACCAGGAAGAACTTAGGGCCCTGGCGAACCGGAATAAGGTAAAATTTATCTGGGCGCTAGGACACAGAGAAGAATCAAAGGCAATGGAAAAGCTGATGAACTCTCAAAGACAGGGATCAAAGACAAAACTTATCGGGCCAGAACCGGCTCTAGGGATACCAAAAAGTATGACCAGAAGCCAGATCAAAGACTGGATTCGTAAAGAACATCGGCAACACTGGACAACTTCCAGGCAGAATCATGCAGCAAAAGGGCCGCAGAACTGCTACAAATGAGCAGGAACCGACTGAGAACCATAACGCGACTCTTGACTGGCCACACACCAGTAAAGGTCCACCTGAACAGGATGAACCTGTACGACGGAGACCTTAATTGCAGACTCTACAAAAGGAACTCAAGACAGCCAGACACATCCTGGTTTACTGTGAGGCACTGGATCGCAAGACACAGCATTTTCAGGCAACCAAACGTAGACCCGGAAACAATAATGAAACACCACCGTGTGAAAGACCTGTAGACCTCGTACAAGACACAAAAATACTGAAGTAGTTGGAATAAACCACACAGGCTAACTTCAATGATAAGCCTTCTCAGGCTTCAGTACTGCATGGAGACAATAAGTCGAACAGGCCTGGAACACGGGGAAAAAAGAAAGCTAACTGAACTCAATCGGCAATGAGCTTCCTCTACGTAAAAGCAGACACATCAAACACTAATGTAATAACCCAATAAATGACAACAATCAGCAAAGTCCTAGTAATATCAGCTACGTAATCAAGACTCAAGACAACTTAAAAAAAAACTTGTTTGGCTAACAAGTACCTTTTAACACGCACTATATTGTAGCGCCACGCATCTGTTCATCTATACAAGTCAAGTATAAAATAAAGGCCTCAACGATAACTTACCTCTAGAAAGTTTAAAATTTATCTGTATTTTATAGTACTATATTTCAAAAGGCAATTGCCGGTATGTTATAATACATACCATAACAACACAGCTTAATCAGGCCTTCCAATATTAAACGGAATTTATGAATGGACTTAGTACTAACATACCGATAAAGTACTCCCTACGCTTCACCTTTTATTACTTTCAGACATAAATGCACCTGACAAAAGGGGTATTATTCAACTTGAACGAAACAAGATGGAGCACACGCGTGTATTTTGCAACAATTTTATGATCTAATAAAACTTTGAATTTACTGAGTTGGTATTGTAGTGAATTTTACGATTCTAATAGTACTGTATGTGGGTAGTATAGGTACTTTGACCGTAGCAAATACATAATCAGGACTTTAACTAGTTATATTATTGGATTAAATTATTATATTTTTCAGAAACAAATTGAAAAATCCAACGATTTGACCGAAGAATGTAAAAATATCAAAGACTCTAAAGGACAGCAGCTCAAAGAAGCGTGCGAAAAGCTGGCTACACAAATGAAGGCCTTCAGGGAACGTCTGGAAGAAACCAGAGAACGGATAGAAGACAGTTCAAGATGTTTTCTGCTATTGGAAAGTTGTCATGACATTTTAGATGACGATAGTGCTGAACAGGAAGAGTTTTTTAAGTTAGCTGAGAGGAGTGCCAACGATAAATTGTTGCAGCTGTGTAAAGTAAGTTTTTTCTTTGTTTATCAATATGTTTTCAGGCGTCACTAATCCAGAAATAAGGGACAAGAATTTGTCTCTCTGATCCCATCAGTCTCTTGAGCTAGTTCTGTATCTTTTTCCGCTTATATTTAATTCATCTTACAAGAATGGAGTTCCATTCCAAATTGATAAAATTCATGAATCTCTATTACCTCACAAAAAATCTCTTGTTTCTGCTATTATTATTGCCAATTTCAGGACAGCAAACCAGCCAACTCTGAACCAAAACAACACGATCTCCCGCCCGACAAACCTTTGGATCCTCCATATTCCAGCTCAGAATTCAGCGCTTCTAGTACCCCGCAAAAATCGCCGAGTACTCAAATTAGAAGGCGATCTGTAAGCTCTATGGCTTACATCTACCATTGCAGGTAATAGTTTGTAAATTCTTCTGGAACAAATTATATAATATTTTTATAATGAAGCCATCATGCTGCTGGTGAGATGTGCAATTGCTGCGAGAGCGACACCGAGAACTCAGTTTCATATAAGCTGAAAAAAAGGTACATACAAATGCAGAATAATTGCAACTGTCAAGGCCTGTCCAAGGAGTTGGAAAGGAAAAATAGCGGAACTCTAGGAGGTGAACATTATATAAACACACTCAAACATCATTTATTAAAAAAAATTATGTCCTAGGTATTAAAGAAGAGCGCGAAAGTGTTGAAAACCTCCTAGAAAAAATCGAGAACCTAGACAACTGCCAACGCTGTGATAGTGGTCTGTCTACTGCTGATAATTCCGTTGGCGAAGATAGTTCGAATTCTTATACAAACTCCAAAAAGAAATTGCAAAGATTGTGTTCATGTCAGTATTACAAGGAAAGTTGTACTTTATGTAGTGGAGGAAGCTCCAGTGGTGGTAGTAATCAAGATAATATGGAAAACCAACAGGATAGTATTATTGAATATAATAGGAGGTAAGAATTAAATTTGTTGTAAGTAAAATTATTCTGTTATTGTTTTCAGTAACAGTAGCGATGATATTGAAGAAGATCAATACTTAGAAGAAAGAAGAAAAATCCCTCCAGTTTCTGCCAATAACCATCTTTACTGCCATGCTTCTACGCTTGACTTACCTTTGGATGCTGTTTATAATAATATGGATCCTAAAACACAAAAGTAAGATTCAATTCTTCTCAGGAAGACAAGTGATTTTGATTACTTACTTTATTTTAGGACTTTAACATACATTATAAAAGAAATGATCGAAACCGAAAGGGACTATGTAAAATCTTTGGACTACGTTATAGTCAATTACGTACCTGAACTACAACGTGAAGATATACCTCAAGCTCTAAGAGGCCAAAGAAATACAGTGTTTGGTAACGTGGAAAAAATCTTTGAATTTCACAGTCACCATTTTCTGGGTGAATTAGAAGAGTGCGAAAACAATCCCTTGCAAGTGGGACAAATATTTCTCAAATACGACAAACGGTTTTATTTGTATGCTTTATACAATAAAAATAAGCCCAAGTCGGATTCCTTGATGTCCGAATATGGATCAATATTTTTCAAGGTGAGTGTTTTTCTGCTCCCCATAGAAAATTTCATTATAAACATTTGATGTATTCTCCAGAGTAAACAAATGGAACTTGGTGATAAAATGGATCTGGCGAGCTATTTGCTAAAGCCTGTCCAAAGAATGGGAAAATACGCTTTGCTACTACAACAAATGATGAAGGCCTGTCCACAACCTCTAATCAGTTCTTCTGAAAGAACCATACAAGAAGTTGATGATCTTAGACAGGCTGAAGAAATGGTTCGTTTCCAGCTAAGACATGGAAACGATTTGTTGGCCATGGATAGTATCAGAGAGTGTGATGTAAGTAGGAATTGTAAATCAATAAGCACAAGCTTGGCTCTTGTTGAGCCTAGCTCTATTTATCATTTATGAAAATATAATAAATATTGTTTTTGTTTAAGGTCAATTTGAAAGAACAAGGCCGACTACTGCGACAAAACGAATTTCTAGTTTGGGAGGGCAGAAGTGGCAAAAAATCCTTGAGGCAAGTGTTCCTATTCGAAGAACTTATACTGTTTAGTAAGGCTAGGCGATTTCCAGACCGTAAGGTAATTCAATTGACCATAATATCAATAATATCATACTTACCAGCTTTATTTTCTTAGAATCTTGACCTTTACATTTACAAAAACAGTATAAAAATGACTGACATAGGACTAACAGCTCGGATAGGAGAAACCCCGACCAAATTCGAAATATGGTTCCGCAAAAGGAAGCCGAATGATACTTTTACATTGCAGTCAATGTCTGAAGACGTGAAAAAAGCTTGGACCGAGGAACTGTCGCAATTATTATGGAAGCAGGCAATAAGGAACAGAGGTAAGCAGGGGCGCCCACAGGGAGGGTCAGGGGGGGTCACTCGACCCCCCCTGGAAATTCCTTAAATTTTAATTATAAGTATCTAAAGTCAGATTTCCTGAGGATGAGCTGTCCTTAGCAGCGGCTGACCTGTCAAATGCACGGTCAGTCGCTGTGCCCCTCCACCAACGACAAAGTTGTTGGAGGGGAAAAATCTACTCAACTAATTTGATGCATACTACTAATAACCAATATTAATTATTTTTAGCTGTTCGTATGGCAGAAATGTCTTCAATGGGTATCGGAAACAAGCCATGTTTGGACATCAGACCCAGCGTTGACCAAATTAATGATAGATCTATCAGCATTGCACAACTCAGCAAGAGTAAGTACAATATTTGGTATATTTTTTTTTATAAAGATCAATTATATTTCATTCAAAAATGCCTAATTGCATGTCTGGCTTGGGACTTCTAGATAGATGATTGATTATTTGGTTGTTGACACTCGCCTTTACCCAATGTATTGTATTTTGAAGATCCCAAGGCAATATTATTTTTCTGTAATTTGCGATGTCCAAGAAGTCGAGATGCATATATTTTGAGATGCAAGTGATAAAGCTGCTGTTTGTTATTATATTTTTACCCTTGAAAAAGTAAAGTTGGTTTCATTTGTTGCCTCAAAATACAATTTTGCTCCTTTGAATAAAATTTCAACAATTCCCAGAACGGAGTTGCAAGGAGCAGTTCTGGAAAAATGATCACAAATGAAACTAGGTATCGCATTTCCAAAATATTTTATTGGACTGACTCGAGGATTATTTTAAGCTGGTTGAAATCTAAAAATGGTAGATTAAAATCATATGAAGCCCACAGAATACAAGAAATTTTACAATTTACTGACACGAGCAACTGAAATTGGGTTCCATCAGCTATGAATCCTGCAGATTTAGCAACTAAAGATATTAAAGAGCAAGAGGTATCAAGAAATTCTCCTTGGTTTCATGGTCCAGTTTTTCTTAAGCAACCCGTAAATGTTTGGCCGAAAGAAGATTTTATTGAAATAATTGATAAAGAAATTATTGTCACGATGACACAGATGAAGATTTGTTCACCAGATGCTAAAAGATTTTCAAAATGGTATATAGACTCCTAAGAGCATCTGCATGGATTTTAAGATTTATACACAACATAAAAAATAAAAAAGAAGGTAGACGAAAAGGCGAACTTGAAGTTGATGAAATTGAACACGTAGAAAAATTATGGATAAAAAAAAATTCAAAGCCAGTGTTTTGAATAATGATACTATTACCACCGCCACCTGATTATGATGGTTGGGTAAGGGAGACTTTGTTTTAACACTGGTAGAGGCCTTTTTGTACTGCGGGACTTTGTTTAAAGTCCCATTGAAAATCTACGTAACTTTGAAAGGATACTCTTTGGTAATCTGATAAGATTGCCTCTTCCAGTGCGGTTTCTTGCTACCTGAGCTGTACGCAGTTAGTTGTGGTTGATGGGTGATGGCCCACGCCCGTATCTTGTCTGGCTGCGGTAACGTTCTAGCTTGAATTGGCAATAAAGCGTGATACTGAGGAGGACAACGACGATGATGAGAGCGGGACAGATCATGCTGGCTTCTACCCATATGGTTGTTGGGTTGGTTGTCTGCTGGATCGGAATGAGGTCAATCATGGTGTGAAGTTCTTGTAGCTCTAGATCGGTAGTAATGAATTCATGACCTTTAAATTCTTTGAGTAGTTTTGGTATCTGGATTTCGAGTTGGTCTTCAGGGGGGTTGAACTTAGATACTGTTAGCTGCGTCGTATTAACGGCGGTCAGCTGTTCGTTATGTGCGGAAGTAAAGTTCTGCCCTCTATTTGTGCATAACAGTTACTTTCTAATGGTAGTAAGCCACACCCTTGCAGATACTGGATAGTGCGGATTTCGTAGTTCTTGGAAGTACGGTTACCGGCTAAGCATTGGATTATAGTCTTTAATGGATAACATTCTTTGGGCTAACTGAGACTATAAGCCCATCGGTTAACTCCGTCGGCTTGGTAGAAAGTTGCGGTTGGGAGTGTCGGAATCTTCTTTTGGTATAGACTGGATACGGTTTTGGTATCACCTCGAAATAATGCCATGTTACAGGATATAATGGGAAGATGTTGGATCGGTTTTAAGGGAATGCAGATTTGGAAGTTTTTTCCTCTACAGTTAGTTAGTTCGTGATCTTTCATTTCGTAGAACGACATAGCATCGTCATTTGAAACAGCTAGGAGAGGAAAGGAAGGTTTTCTACCTTAAGCATATTTTGCTAGTTTCTTTTCAAGTCTCTGGGCGACTTGTTGTAACTCCTGGGTTACTAAGGGTCATTTCTCTCAGGGTTTGTGTGTTTCCTTTTAGCATCAGGTCTCTCGTGGGATTCAGCCTGTAATGTTATGTTAGGGTCTGTCAAGTCAGTTAAGTTAGTCGTGTCATTTTGGTAAGAGGTTTCAATTTCATTGAACAACTTACTTGAATTTTTACTAGTTATTTTAAATTGGTGCTTTCTGAGGTTTTATTGGGTGAGCTTACAACTTCATGGGGGTCACGAGCGGTTTCGACTTGAATAAGATTTTCAAGTTGACGCGTTTGATCCTCAACTTGGTGGGAATTAGAAGTAGTTGGTGACTTTGAAACAACGGGGGATCCAGAAAGAATGGCTGAAATAACGGGTGAACTTGACTGGTTTGGCAACGCTAGGGTTGCATTATTTTGAAGAGCTGGAGGATGCGACACGTCAAAATCGGAGTTTTCACTTTTCCAATCGTCTTCCTCATTGGTCAGATTGCGGTATTCCAGGATATGAAGTTTTAATCTTCTCTATTAGGTTCGTGTGAATTTTAATTTTTTTTCTCTTGCCAATTTCTTGTATTATTGAATTAACGGCACTTGGTAATTCCAGGATTCTGTATGGGCCTTTCTATTTCATCTGTAATTTCCTTGACCGGTGCAGTTCGGGTGCTACATTTTTCATAAGTACCATATCTCCTAACTCGAAGTCATGTTTCTTAGCTTTCAGCAGGTGTTTTTGTTGTTGATATTCAGCAGTTAGTCGGAGTTTTTCCTGTACTGTTTCATCGGAAATTTGAAGTCTTTTAATCAGTTCTGCTGCTTAGTTATCAATAACGTCATAACAGTTTCTGGTTGATTTAAGAAAGTCTTCGCATGGAATTAATATATTTCTTCCGTGCAGCAAAAAGTATGGTGTCTCTCCAGTGGAACTATGGATCATATTTCTATATGCCATCGTCACGTAGGGGAGCCAGGTATTCCAATCTTTTTGGTCATGGCCTATGAAATGAGAAAGAATGTCTTTTAATGTTCTATTATAGGTATATACCATTTTTGTTACCACCGGCGCCACCTGATTGTGACGGTTGGGTAAGGGAGACTTTGTTTTAGCACTGGTAAAGGCCTTTTTGTACTGCGGTAGCGTGCCACCAGGGACTTTGTTCAAAGTCCCACGTCCCACTGAAAATCTAGGTTACTTTGAACGGATACTTTTTGGTAATCTGATTAGAACGCCTCTTCCAGTGCGGGTTCTTGCTACCTGAGCTGTACGCAGTTAGTTGGAATGCTAGCTCGCGGGGTTTTCCAAAGGAAATAAAAGAATCAGTTTTTCTTACTAAACTCTAACAATGGTTTATTGAACAAGTGGTTAATCTTGGTAAGGAAATGAATGAAAAGCAAAGAATATACAGTAAGTTATACTGAAATGAAATGAAAGAAATTACATACAGAGCTTTGGCATGATAGGGAGTGAAATTAATTAGCGTCCTGTATAGGGCGTTCCTTGATGGTACAAGTTACATGAGAAATTAAGGATTGAAAGATACAGAAAATAAAGACTAGGTTATAATTCTTAGTGGGTAAAAAGTCACGGGCGTCCTCGACAAGGGAATGACAAAACGGCCTTGTTATTCAGGGTAAGATACATGTTGGAAAAGAGATTTGAGTGGTGAAGCTAACCCAACGGTTTTGTTCTTTACACAGGGGAGAAAATAAATAATAGACAGAAAATAACAATCATGACGAATAAATTAAAATACTTGAAATTGAAACATTACCTAAGGTCTCGGAAAGAGAGTCAGTAGGAAGACGTCAACACTAAACACCAGAACTTCGCTACAGGACTGAATGAATCTAGGAGGCTCCCAGGCCTATTTATATTGGCAGCTTGATGACGCTTTTGGGATTCTTATCGGTCGCAAAACATGCGATTTGTTCATGGAATCAGGAGTTGAGAGTCGTGTTTTAAGACACAGTCATCACACTCTTTTGGAAACCGACTGATAACCCTTGGCTCTTGACATGGTTTCGTCAGAAATTTAGCGACTTTATCTAGCTGGGTAAAAAAACCAATTAATTGTATTACGAAGCAAAAACAAAAAGGATTTTTAGGCCGTTTTGTTACAACACCTATTGAATTAATAAAAAATCAATTGAAGAAAAATTCTAAATTATATAAATTCTTCCCATTTTTAGATGATGCTGAAATTTTAAGAATCGACAGTAGAATCAAGTATGCGGATATAGAATTTGATTCCAAATTTCCTATAATTATACCACCTAAAGATACAAGATATGTTGAGTTGCTTATACAGTACTACAATGAAACTGTTAAGCACATTGGCCAAGAAATAGCTTTCAACAATTTAAAACAAAATTTCTGGATAATACGTGGTAGACAAAGTGTTAAAAATTTTATCCGTGAATATCAATTCTTTAAGGTGAAGAGACCTAAAGTTTTACAGCCAGAAATGGCACCATTACCAGAATGCCGGTTAAAAAATTATTGCAGGGCCATTTAGTCATTGTGGATTGGATGATTTTGGATCATTACAAGTGAAAGTAAAAAGAAGCACAGAAAAAAGATATGGAGCGTTATTCACATGTTTGAATTCAAGAGCTTTTCATATCGAAATAGCAATTTTATTAAGCACAGATTCTACACTGTTGGCCTTAAGAAGATTCATTGCAAGACGAGGAAAACCACTAGAGACTTACTCAGACAATGGGACAAATTTTATTGGGGCTAAAAGGGAAATATCTAGATGAAATCGGCGAAAACAAAATAAAAAGAGAGACGACATTTTCAAATATAAGATGGCATTTTAATCTACCAAGCGCTCCTAGTATGGGAGGAGTTTGGGAAAGAATGGTGAGGTCGGTAAAACAAGTCCTATATTGTATATTAAATGAAAAAAGACCATCTGACGAACTCCTTTAACATATTTTGTTTGGAAGCAGAAAGTATAATAATTTCTCGACCAATAAGCTATGTTTTATCTCATGAAGAAGACTTGAGTGCTCTAACTCCTATGCATTTTTTAATTGAAATTCCATGCTAAGTGTACACCTCCAAAAGTGGATGGTATTGTAGCTCTACTATGCACATCAGAAGCAAGAAATAAATGGAAATTAGCTAGAGTGACAAACATATTTCCTGCAAATTAGAAACGTAGAAGTTAAAACCGCTATTTCTTCACTTGTACGGCCTGTAAATGCATTACTTTGGTTGGAAGTGGAAGAATGTAGCAGATAGAAGAGTTCCCTGTATTTTATCTTCAGTTGTCACGAATATTCGTTTTCAAGAAAGTGTAATTTTTATTTGTTAGCAGCTAAAGCGCTTATAAATTGAAGCAGTAACACGTATTCCTTACTAGATATGCATGTATGTAATTATTTTATTAATATTGTAAATATTTTTTTAGATTTGCATTCAGATTTCTGCACTTTGACACGAAAATGGCGCATTAATGCAATGCAAATTTGTAATACCATTAAAAGTAAGTTGATTTTGATTTTTGTCTTGTGTTGTCTTTTGTATTTTTTGAATACATGTAAGGTTTGAGTTTAGAGTTACTTGCCACAACATTGCGTTAATCCGTCATACAACAAAATGTGGTTATTTCTTATAGGGATGTAACGATTATTGCTGTATACGATTAACATATGGAAACAATAACCCACTAACTAGGAGCTGGTTATAGTTTTCTACAATACAAACTAGAATATCTGGAAGAAGTGCCACTTTAGAGGGCAGTTTGTAGAGTCTTAGTTTGCTTTGATAATATTTTTTTTTTGTTGTTTTTTATTCCCGCATGTTGCATTTAATTATCATCCGTCCCTTTTTTTTTTTCTCTAATCCACAGCAGCACCCCGATTTCGAAACTCGATTGCAGGTTCCACTCCTGAATCGTGCCGTACCATCAAAAGACCCCACTCTGTGATCTCGGTATCCAGCGTTTCGTCCAGTAGCACCAGTTCTGGAGGTTCCGGAGCGCATTCGGCCAGCCAGGGAAATTCGAGTATTGGATTCGAGCCGAATTTCACCGATAGTCCCCAACCTTATCGGTCTGCTACGCTTACCAGCCAGTGTTCTGTTGGTAAATAGTACCTACCTAATTTCTCAGTTTTTTTTTTTTAAACGTGTAATTTTTTCAGAAAGCGGTATAATAGCTGATATATCGGTAGCTTCAGACGAATACGCCGATCAAAACCAAAATGCCACCTCTTAGAGCGCTTACAAAGTTTTTGACTGTTCTAAGTCAGCCTACACCATGTGCCACAATAATATTATACCATTTTCTTTTTCGAATAATTACCTACAGCTACTCTTAAACATTTCATGTAAATATCAAATTATTACATATAATCATATATATTTTAATTTATTTTATTTGCATTGTTAAAGATCTATATTTTCTATTTTTTAAGTATTTTACTACATTATTTTATATTAACGTTTAGCTGTTAAGCATCACTATATTTACTAGTACCTATGAAAAATAACATATAGTATACTATCAATATCAAGATGTACCTAATAATACCCCGCAAGTGCAGCTACCACATTATTTTCATAAATTATTCAAGTATAGGCAAATTTGGCCTTTTTTCTAGTTCAAATAATTTAACTAGCAATATATATTAACTTATACACAAACAAGCCATATTTCAGAAAGTTCAAAACTTTAGAAACAAAGTTGTTATTTGCTGTGCTACGACATAAAACTGCCACAAGGAAGATAGAAAATTAAAAGGCTAAATTTTGAAGCAGCTGTTATCTATTTATGAATTTGATTTTTCAATTAAACTGATCTAATAAAGTCTCTTGTATGATATATTTTGACATTTTATTTTCCATGTAAATGTCTGGTTTTTTGCCAGCATCAAAATTTCCTTGGAACCAATTGAAGCTCAATTATTAATTTGGAAGGAATTTTGTAAGCCAAATAAACCAAAATCTATAGAGGTTGAAAGTTTCAGGAACATATTACCCACAAGAAATGTTTCAAAATAAATCTTACAGACTTGATTACAAGATACAGACATAGATGTTGTCATTAAATAATTATAGTGGAGCTATCTTCTACTAATTACATGGATGTACTAGAACTTAATACAATGTCTTTACAATTTTTCGAGTAGTAAAGAAACTTGGGAAAAATCCTAAATCAATTAACAGTTTTTCATATATTATTATAAACAGATATTACAAACTTTGATTAACGGTTACTATTTTATGAATACTTTGTATGTATAATTTATTTTGTAAGGTTTAAACTTATCAGCCAATAGATTTTGCATGGTAGCTGTTAAATAGGTTAGCTATAATAATAATTATTGCAATATTTGTTTATAATAATCAGACTTTCAGTAAAAATAAACTTTTTATGTAACTTTGATTGTTGTGTTCCGAATGTTTCTGTCCTGTAGTTCGCCTTGCTGCCACAAATTTGCGATACTTAAATATATAGGAAGTGACAAAATTTGTATAATGCATTTTTTTATATAAACGATTGGTATTCATATATATTAATATATAAATATGTACAAAACTAGTCAATGTGTTTTTTCTTTCTATCCATATATGTTTGGCTGTCCCGTCTGTCAAAGTGAGCAATTGTGAACGCACATTTCCATGACACACGTCTAGTTCTAGGTCCTTAATAAACGACAGTCTTGTCACCGTTACCACTGGAATAGCATCATTTCTGCTTCTCTCTCTCCTCACCACCCAAGTTCCACAACATGGCGCAGTCGTTAGGATAAGTTATAAAATTTCAAGAATCCATCGCTCTACTTTTACTGATTTTTTCTCGTGAAATAGCAAGGCAGTGGAAACGTTAAATAAAATAGGGTATGACATGCAAAGTTTAGAAAAAACAAATATTATTTACTCCCATTCTGATAACACTTTGCCAATAATTGGAAGATGTGTCCTAGAATGTCTTGTAAATAACACTAAATCGAATGTTTTTTTTTATGTGGTTGGTCAAAGAGCAAAAGCAATTTTAGGTTTGAAAAGTTGTATAGACTTAAATTTGATAAGGAGAGTTGAGTCAGTTGAGAGTCATGGTCCTCTGACCTCATTAGTGAATAAATATGAATATTTGTTCAGGGGTGTAGGTTGCTTTGATAAAACATATCATATATAGAGTTGAAGGAAAACTATAAGCCAGTAGTTATGCCCCCTAGAATAGTATATTCTTCAACGAGCATAGAATAATAGCCATTATTTGCGAGTAGAAGACTATACTTTCTCTTCGAACTTTTTGAAAAAAAAAAAACATTAGTTTTTGTAAGAAATAATAATCATCAGAACTCTAAACCCGACCTAAATTTTTTTAAATTGAAAGTTTGGTGATCTGACAATAGGCGTCAGTCATGTTTTGTTTGTATTGTCTCATTGCGGCCCGTGTATTCCGAAAATACGGAGAATTTGATTGGTCGACAGGCCGTGGATTCCGGTTTGGAATCCACGGTCCGTGTAGAATTCGTATCATTAATCAATTTAATATCGAGCAAGAATAAATGTATTATTTAATGTTCGAAGAGAAAAGTGCCTTTTCCTCTTGAAAATTAATTAAAGAAAGTTTTAGGCGAACTCGAAAAGAATAATTTCATAGAAAAAACGAATGAAAGCTCTGAATGGTTGAATCCAGTAGGAGTTATAAGAAAAAAGGATGATTCTTTGAGACTGTTTAGACCCCAAGGGTATTGATACTCAACTAAAAAAAAAATATTATTGGCATATTCCCATTATTGAGGAATTGTCGATATTTTTCTACTCTTGATGCAACGCAGGGTTTCTCAATGATACCCTTGGACAAAGATTCTTCGGAATTATGTACATTTAGTGTGGGAAACATAGGGAAATATCGTTATTTGCGCATGCCATTCGGTCTATCTTGTGCCCCAGAAATTTTTCAACAGAAAATGACACAAATCTTCTCAGACATCGAGGGCTGTGGAGTCTATTTTGATGATTTGCTTTGTTATTCTCCTAATATCGAATCTCATTGTAAGGTTTTGGAGAAGGTGTTTGAAACAGCTAAAAAACATAATGTTCGATTTCTCGATTTAATAAAAGTAAATGTAGATTCATGCTAACAAAAGTAACATACTTGAGACACTAGGGCTGGAACTTTGTAACGAATAGAGCTCGTTATCTCTATCGCTATGACGCTTGCTGTTTTTTTCTCTCCTGTCCAAATCAATAGAGAGGAGACGTCAATAGAGATAGAGAAAATATCTCTACTTCGTTACAGATTCCCAGCCCAGATTTCCTATAATAGTATGACACCTGATGACAGTAAGATTGAAGCTATAAAAAATATGCCTAGGCCAAGAGACATGTTGGGTGTTCAAAGATTTTTGGTTTTGGTCACCTATTTGTGGCGTTTTGTGGAAAATTTGTCAGAAAAAACAGCCCCTTTGAGGTCTCTCTTGAAAAAGGATGTAAACTTTGTTTGGGAAGCAATTCATGAACAAACTTTGGAATTGAAAGAAATACTGTGTCAGGCACCTTGTCTTGAATTTTTTGACCCTAAAAAACAGGTAACAATAACAGTAGATGCCTCAAAGGATGGCATGGGAGCTTCTCTGCTGCAGGATTGTAGTGCTTCTGCGCACGCATCTAGGGCTTTAACAGATACACAAAAGGGTTACTCATAGATAGTAAAACAATGCTTGGCAGTGTGGTTTGGGTGTGAGCGCTTCTATAAGTTTGTCTTTGGCTTGAATGACTTCACTGTTGAGACAAATCACTCTCCATTAATTCAAATTTTCAAAAAGCCTATCAGTTCTTGTCCACCAAGGTTGGTTGCAATGAATGATTCTTCAACTGCGCAAATTTAACTTTACTCTAGTATATAAACCAGGAAAAAAAATAGTAATAGCTGATACACTTAGTAGGGCCTATGAAGAGAAACATTTCAACGAAAACCTTGATCTGGAAATTGAGGCTCAGATTTATTTGGTCTCTGATTGTTTAAATGCAACGGATGAAAAGGTTCATGAGCTGATTAGACAAACAAATTTGGATGCAGACTTGCAAAAATTAAAATCATATATTTTGCATGGTTGGCCTGGTAAACTGCAAAATGTCGCAGAAAATATAAGAGTCTATTACAAGATTAGATCTGAACTCTCCTATGTAAGCAATTTGCTATATTTGCTATATATGCATAATAGTTCATAAAGAGGCAAGACAAGATATTCTGGGTAAGCTTCATTCTATCTCACATTTAGGCGTAAAAAAATGTTTAGAAAAGGCAAATTTATCATTCTATTGGCCGTTTATGTATCAACAAACACAGGACATGGTGTTTTCCTGCGAAACATGTTAAGTTCACAGTAAAAATAATCAGTCTGAGCCATTGATCCCTCATGATATCCCTAAAGTACCATGGCAGAAGGTCGCGTGTGATATATTTCATTTATTTGGTCAATTATTCCTACTTGTTACAGATTATTATTCAAAATTTGTAGAGGTTAGTAACTTAAGTGGGGATTTTACTTTCAAAAAATGTAATTTTGATTTAAAATCCATCTTTGCAAGATATGAAATACCAAAGTCAGTTTTTTTCTGATGGAGGACCTGAGTTCGTAAGTCAATTTTTAAAGTTCTCAAAAACATGGTAATTTTTTCATGTTATCTCATCGACAGGTATCCTCAGTCCAACGGTCAAGTCGAAAGACGAATGAAAACATTAAAAAACATACTCAAAAAGTGCAAATACAATTCTGGCATTACTTGACCTCATGAACACTCCTTTGGATGGAGAATCATCACCATCAAACTTATTAATGGGTAGACCATTACATGATCTTTTGCCTAAACCAATTATCGAGCTGAGCTCGTGTTCAAATGGTAAATATAGTAGACACCTAGACCAGACCTATAGCTGAAAGTAGACAGAAATCGTATTTTGATAGAAAGGGAGTAAAAATGTTGTCAGAATTGAATGTAAATAACGAAATTTTATATAAAAAGGACACAAGTAATTTTAAAAAAAGTAGGCATTCGTTCTTATATGATTCGCTCTGAGAAGGGTTCAACATTAATTAGAAACCGTAAATTTCTGAAAAAATTTAAAAAATCAACCTTTTGTAACAAAAATGTTGAGCCTTCTACAAGTGATTTTGAGTTTGTAAAAAGTAACGATCTTTTATGTGAAGACTATGTATATTCAGGGTTAGACAATGACAACCTAGTCCAGGACAATGAACTAATATTAACTAATTTTGATGACTTAGAGTCTGTACAGTCATACTTCGACAAGTCATCTAGTTCAACATCTAGTGCTTGTAGTTACGAGTCCACCGACTCTGTAACTAATTGGAATACAGAGAATGAAGCTGGGCTCTCCACAGGGTCCTTATTCTTGAAACAGGGGAGCAGCGTTCTCAGGAGAACGAGTGTTTTGTCTTTGTTCCTTATATTGTCATTTGCATATCATTGAGAAAGACGGAACACTCGTTCTCCTGGGAACACTGCTCCCCTGTTTCAAGATTACGGACCCAGGTGAGAGGTCTAGCGTTTCGAGTGCAATGTCTGGCAATCATTTTTTTGAGAATACAACTTCTCAAACTGTTACTACTAGGTCTGGCAGACAAGTTAGGAACAACCAAAAGTTCAACGATTACCTTAAGTTTGAATAATAAGCTGCTTATGAATGCTTTGGATTTGGTTGTCAGTTGAAAGTTATTGGTAATGTTAATAATATGTGTAGGTAATAACGAACCTGCAAAGTTTGTTTTTAGGGACAAATAGGTAATGTAAATTGATAGTATGGATTAGTACCGAATTTTGTCAAAGTCATTAAAACATTAAATTTCCACTTTTTGTAGGTTTATCCTTCTTGGAGAGCATGTTTTGCTTGAAGAAGTTGATGAAATGAAAGTATCTGAAATCAATACTGGACTGAAATGAAAATCAAATAAGACTTTTCCGGTATGTACAAAAATGAGAATCAGTAGTTTTATTTTTCCTTTTCAATGGGTAATTTGTATTTTGATTATGAGCAAGTGATCGTTGGTTCTAGAAGCAACTTTTAAATTATGCCTGTTTTCATGCTTCATCACCAGTTAAAATAGTGATGAGCGATAAAAATAAACCGACGAGGACGAGACTATTGTATTTAGTCGATTACTATCCCAGCACTGTTAAAATGACTATTTATACAAATATTAATTGCTATAGTGTACAAATGATCTTGTCCATAGCCATTTTACTGTCCAGTCTGTTTTTAAACAGGGTGACTGAAGATGCATATTTTACAGTGTCCCAACTGAGTGGATTCCAATTATAAACTACTCAATTGGACGAAAAATTTCTACGCAAAAGCCTCTGGCACGTGTCTCCTTACAGAGTTTCTTGTTATGATTCCTTAGATGCTGGATATCACTGAACTCAGAACACACTTGACTGGCAATTGGAATGTCCACTAATTATTTTGAATATCTTTACTAGATTCCCACGCATTCGTCTCTCATAAAGTGTAGGAAGGTT